TTTTCTGATTATTTTTCCCTCTGTTACAAATTGGTGGTAAAAACATAATATAGAAAATAACTTTTAGACTTACGATTTCCATTTTCACCCTGAAAATCAAAAAGATGTTGTTTTAAGTGTGCCTTAACACGACTTTTACCTGTCCTTAGGTGACTTTTCACATTTTTCAAATAAAAGCCTTGTTTCTTCTTTATACAGACACAGTCCTCTCTTGGCTTGCCCTCAGTGATCTTTTTTTATTCCTCCAACAACTATTTCATTGCTTTCCTAACACGTCGTGCAGTATTTGATAAATCCATCATCACTAGGTTCCTTTTTGTTTCTCTTTGTCCTTCATTCAAAGGATGAATAGGACTTTTCTCAGGTACATGGAGCACTTTGAAATTTAACAACAATCCCATTAAAAGCTAGAGATCTTTGGGTAGCCTTCAGGCAGTTCTTTCCTCCTTTTTGTCGTATTCTTTTTCCATCTATGCCCATATACTTGCTAAAAAAGAAGTCTTTAGAATGCGATTTTGAGCCTACTCTGCTAAAAAGATCAAATTACGTCATTTAATATCAGTTAGATTTTCTGCCCTAGTCATGGTCATACCTACTGCAGTGCTAAAATAGCATATGGCTATTAAAATTTCAAAATATTTTATATAATGGAATTTATAAAACTAATTTTATAAGTATTAGTCATCCTAGTTTCATATCAGAAGACCTGCTTGACTTTGAGAGAAGGTAAATGTTCTAGTCTAAAAAAGGTTATGCTATTCCGTAAGACAGGATTCCTCTTCACCTGCATAATGAAGCAAATCAACATATTCGGTTGCAACCATCATGTAAGCTAGAAGTGTTTACAGCATAGTCATTTTCTGTTAACCTGGCCTGAGTTTGACCAAATTGGTAGTCACAAAGAAGTTTTTGCTATGGCTTGTGACTCATAACCATTTTTAATTATATATATTTTTTTAACAGTAATGCTCACATAACAAATCTTAAATACAGGTATTTTAAAGATTGCACCAGCATCTTGAAACTAATGTACTTATGTCTATGAACATGTTAGCACTTTATACCTATATATTTTATATCTATTATTTTTATGTGTGTGTGTATGTATATGAAAAAAATTCCGCAATTGCATTTTATAGGAGGAAAATGAGAAGAAGAGTCACCACAAGGACCACTCAGATAATGAATCTACATCTTCTGATAAGTAAGTATGGTATACCTGATAATTTCATTATTTTTATGTGGGGTTTTTATATCATTCCCATTTGCACATTCACCTATGATATTTTTATTTGCAGCTCTGGGAGGAGGAGAAGAGGACCTTTTAAAACAATCAAATTTGGGACCAACATTGACCTGTCAGACGACAAAAAGTAAGTAGACAACAGTTTCTTCTGCTCACAGTGGTATTCTACAGTATGATATTCCTTCTGGAAAACCAATTCATTCTTCTCGGACACTGGTCAGTCTGTCGATCAACCCAATTCCAGTTGCACACCCCATTTTCACAATTAATAATTACCTGTGGTCTTCAAAACGTTGTTAAGAGTCCTTCTCACCCTAAAATCTCCTTTCAAGCTTTTCTTTCCAGGATCTTTATTTTTCCAGAAATAAACATCTATCAGAAACTGTTTTCTAGTCTTCCTTATAATACATTCCCTTTTTTTCTCATTCTGAGAATTCTAATTGTTGGTTTACAACTTCAGTTACTTCTGACAATATCAAATTTTCAGTCTCAGCACAGTAATTGTAAGATCAGTGGATTTTTTTGTTTGTGTGTCTAGATTTTTATTACTTGGTTTTTGTTTCCTTTTGTTCCTGCTGTCATTCTTTCAGTTTCCACGTTTTCGTAGCTCTTGCTTCTCTATCCAGGAACAGGTTCAAAATGCATAGTAAAGACCAGAACATATCTTTCTGGGAGCTAGGTGCGGGTAGCTCAGAAAAACCATCAGAAAGTGTTAGAAGTAACCTGATAGCTTTTATTTGTTGTTGTTCAGTAATTTTTTATTTCACTCAGTCTCTAGTTAGTATATATTTCCATAAAAGATCCAGCGTATCTAGGCTGTCAGTCCCACCAGCTGCAGTACAAAATTGCTGATCTCTTTCAATCATTAGAGCAGAAGAAAAGGTTATGGTATCTGAAACTGGGGAATAAAGCACACTTAAGATGCTGAGTTCTTTTGTGGTATAGTCACTGAAAGATCAATGTGTGTACATATATATGTGATTAGAGATTGTTATAAAATTTTAAATACTGATACTGTTTTTTTCTAAAGGAAATTCCATCCTTAGTTACAAAATTCTTACTAATAAACTAGCATTCAGAGTAAACTATTGTGAGAGAGACTTCAAGCTATCTTGAGGCTCATAGGGAACTGGGTTTTTACACTTTTAATAGTTCTTTGTAGGATCCCAGGTAGACACCAGCTCTTCTGATCTGCAGTATCAGCTTTTGCTACAAAATTAATCCTTCCCCTCAACTAGCCTGTGAGATTTGTAGTATATATTTGGAAATATTTTTAATTTAAAATAGTAACACAGTTACCTGGGTGACATTACAGAGCTTTCACACATAGGTTCTGAGATTTTTGTGTTGGAGATCTCTTTTTCTTAATGCAGGTATTCAGTTCCATAGTTCAATTTTCTGTAACTGTCAAGTAAGGGTAATGCATTGTCTCAGCTTCCCTCTTGAGAGGTCCTAAGTTATATAGAAGTAGGTTGTCTGCTCTTTTATCTCATGTACTCACAATTTTGTGAAAATGTTTCTATTTCTTAAACACTTCTAAGAGTGTTAGGGATTCATAGTTTGTCTGTTTGCTATTTTGCTGCAGGTGGAAGTTGCAACTTCACGAACTGACAAAACTTCCTGCTTTTGAATGTGTGGTATCAGCAGAAAATCTTCTAAGCCATGTTGGTCATACCATCCTGGGCATGAACACAGTGCAGCTGTACATGAAGGTTCCAGGAAGCAGAACACCAGGTGAGTAAATCTCTTAGCATGAAAAAAAGCAGGTTTTACTCTTGTGATATTGATGTAACTGCAGTGCAGGTTTTCCATATCTTGCAGCATGCCTGAACATGATAAAATTGTTCATACTAAGGCTTTTTTAAATTTCTTGCATAACTAAACTGTGTATACAAAGTACTCTTACCTTATAATGGAAATTTCTGGGTTTCTGCAGTTCTAGGTAATTACCTTATTAACCTCTTGCATGAAATAATTATTTAAGGGGAAAAAGAGAATGGGTTTGTATACTTGGACAGTATTTGTATTTTACATGTCTTGAAAGTTTTTACTACTTGTCTTTTCAGTGCCTGAAGTTTTGCTCCTGACTGGCACTGTCAAGAGCTACCATAAACCACAAAATCTAAGCTTTAGCTCTTGAAGCACTTATTTCTACAAAAAAGGGAACTGCTAAAATGTTCATCTGATTTGCAAGATTGGTAGTTCTAGCTTTTCCTTTTATACAGACTTCACAAAAGCAGAATTGTCTTGTCACTGGTAGCTTAAACGCATTTCTTAACGCTGTGAAGCACCTAAATAGTGCGTGTCATATCAGATAGGTACAGATACTTTAAAAAATTATGTAGGGGGTTTTAGTAATTGTAACTGTGCTTTTTCATAGCATTATTTTGATAGATCAGCCATAAAGAAAGTGTGTGTTTTTCATTCTAAATTTCAGGTCATCAAGAAAACAACAACTTTTGTTCCGTAAATATAAATATTGGTCCAGGTGATTGTGAATGGTTTGTTGTCCCTGAAAGCTATTGGGGTGTCATGAATGACTTCTGTGAAAAGTAAGCTGGTTTTCTTTATCAAGTTCTCTGTGCATTTCTGAAACCTAATGGAGGAAATTACTGAGGGTGTTTTAAGAGGACATTATTTTACAGGTTTTCCATGTAGTCAGAAAAGTCTTTTAAAACCAAAATGCAAAATCTAGAATTTATACAAAATATGCCATTTGTACAATGTCCAGAAACTTGGATTGCCTGTGATGGCTTTACTCTCAAAAATTAATATTAGGTCCATTATTTAGTTTTTTTAACACAGGAAGGAAGAAAATACAAGAAGGGAGAGATTGGTAATCACAAATGCTTATCTAGGTTCACAATTCAAATTTATACTCCATTAAGGCATTATGGGGGATCAGAAGTTTAGTATAAACACACGCTGTCTACTACCAGCGTGTACTGTGGCATTGATCCACTTTTTGTAGCATTGGTAGCATTTTCTGCATCAGAAAAGCCATCATCGTCCTTGTTTACTAGGCACATATATCTATCATGTATATTAAAACTGACCTCTACCATTACCAAATGATGATACTTCTGCAATGGCACTTGGGGCTGTTACAGTGAAGTGACAGAACAAAATTGGGGGTGAAGGAATGGGGTATTTTCATTTCTTTTTTTAGGAGTTACGGAGTGAAGTAGTTTGCTGTTAATCTTTATGATAAGTAATGTACAGGTTGCACACAAGTACGTAGAGAGTCATTGGTATTTTGGCATGGTTTCCTGCTGTGTCTGGAGGGAGAGCTTTGTTTACTCAGACCCCAGGAGATGTTGCTTTGCATACACTTACATGTTTGTAACTTTCTGGAAAAGTTGAGGTGTGCTGACCATTGGGAAAGTACTCAGCCAGCTCTTGAGATTGGCTTTCCATGGTGTGTGCCTTGTGTCGAGTGGATGTTTTTTTAGAACAAAACAAAACAAATGAAAAAAAACCCACACAGACATTCATGTGCACCCGCTTCCCCCACCCAAATAAAACCCAATAACACAAAACAAACAAAATAAAGATGAGGAGGAACAGCAGTTGTGTCCCCTAACCATGCGATAGCTTCTGAAGCTGATCTTCTGGGAGATTATCTTACCCAGTTAAAACTAGACTAAGCTTTTGACTTTTCTTCAGAACTTTTTCAGAGCTCTGCAGATTCTTTTCAGTGTCTCTGTACTCCATTTTTGGCCTACGTACTGACAGCTGTTCTTATTTCATCCACCTTTATAAACATTACCCATTTCAAAATTGCTGTTTCACTGATGCAGTTTCAAAGTCTTTGATGACGACATGCCTTTTACCCAATGGCACTGTCCTTCTGAGGGTGAGAGAGAAACTAAGATCTTGGTAACCTCATACAAAGTCTAGAGTGCTTGATAGGGGCACTGAATTGTCTTTGCAAACTGAATTGTGAATGGACTCCCCTAGTGCAGTATGAAAATGAGAGAAGGATGGGAGAGAAGTATGTATTGTGCATAACCCTAGTGGAACAGGTGTGCTTAGCAAATCCATATGGAAATGTTTTTCATGCTTCTCAGAAAGGTCAGCATTTCTTGGCTGAATATAGCATAAACCTGTTCATTACAGTTGAGAGGGTGCCAACAGGTTGCTTATTGTGTGGACAGGCTTCATGTGCATACACTGAGAGTATGAGTACACAGTTATCATTGTTCAAAATAGAAAGCTTTATTAAGAACTGGTACAGTCTGTAAATAAAATCAGGCACTGGTTAAAAAAGCAGTTCTGCGCACCACTGTGGCACTGGATTTGACATAGTATTTCTCTACCTCGACATTAATAAAATACTGTAAATTTAAAGGAAAACAGAACTGGAAGCCGTAAGCTGACTTACTTGCATGGGCAACCAGGCACTTAAGTGGTTTAATGTATTGACGGATGTGAAGCGTGGAATTAGGATCTGGAATTTTATAGCTGAAACTTTACTTTTTACTAGTCTTATTGTGATTAGATGCAGAAATGTAAGTGATTAGATGCAGAAAGCATGTGTCATGGTGATCAGTTTTTGCAGGTAATTTCATATAAGTAACAACCACTAATATGTCTGCTGATAAGTGCTGAAGATTTTATTTTCCCTGTTGTTTCAGGAATAATATGAATTTCCTAATGGGATCTTGGTGGCCAAACTTGGAAGATTTGTATGAAGCCAATGTCCCAGTTTATAGGTTTATTCAAAGACCAGGGGATTTGGTGTGGATAAATGCTGGGACTGTTCATTGGGTTCAGGCTATTGGTTGGTGCAACAACATTGCATGGAATGTTGGCCCTCTTACAGGTATGGTTGAATAGTGTGTGTGCTGAACTACATAATTAAGTAATTCTATACTATATATGCCCAAGAACCTGCCATTTCTTATAAATATACCATGCTTTACTAAATTAAATAAATGAATGTGCTCTAATTTAAAACATCATCTGTTGAAGCTTTTAAGTAATTTCATTGGTAAGAGAAAGCAAAAGCAGCAAGAATGCAGTCTTTACACTCACTCATTTAATGCACATTTAAAAACTACAATTGTATAGAAAACACCAGCAGAATAAAATGTTTAGATTAATTCATACACTCTGTCTTGTAGGCCATTTTTTATCTTTTTCTTAAAAGTTTTTCTACCCAGCAAACTGCACTAAAGCTTGCAGTTCCATTCTAACTTGGGACAACTGGTATCCAATTGCTGTTCAGTGAAAGCATCAGGAAATGCAAACAGTTGTAAAATTATGTTAATAAAGGAATATTAGATTTTTCAGACTTACTATTCTAGAAGTTTTTAGTTCTGAACCACCATCTTGGAAAGTTTTTAGAAATTAGAGTGGAAAGAAATTTCACAGCTAAAATGAGATTCTGTCAGCATTTGAACAGAATGTACTCCAGAAAAACCTTCCTGTTTTCCTAAATAGTTTAAGATGTGTCTTTATTTCAATATGACACAATAAACAGTATATCTCTATATACATGTTGTATGATTGACTGATACAGAGTTCACATGCTCAGTCACAGTAAACTTTGTGAAACATTTTTTTTAAAAGGGCAGGGTGCATAGGCTGCAAAATTAAAAGGTCTGACTCATTGCAACAAATCTCCCAAGGTGCAGTCTCCCTTTTCAAGACAAATATATACCACAGCATTGTAAAATTACAATACTTAATAAAGCAAGATGCAGACTTTTCAAATTTAGGTTATTTTTTTTTCATCTGAAATATTTGAAAATGTATTTAGGAACCCTTTTTGAAATACTGCTCTCTCTTTACCATAGAATTTGATTACTTGTCAGTGACTTGTTTTCACAGATAGTTGTTGCTGCTGTGGTATTGTGCATTTTTTTAGCATCACACATACCCTTTTTTTATAACAAATTTCATAGAATTCAAGTACAGTTAAAATTAATGGGTCATTGCAAATGGAGTTTAATCGAGCCCTAAAAGGGGGGGTATACATTTTCATTATAATAAAATGATTTGGGGTCCAGTTGATTCTTATTTCTTAACTTGACTAATTGCTTCTGTAATTTTGTTTTTGTATAGCTTGTCAGTATAAATTGGCAGTGGAACGGTACGAATGGAATAAACTGCAGAGTGTGAAGTCCATAGTACCCATGGTTCATCTTTCATGGAATATGGCTAGAAATATCAAGGTCTCGGATCCAAAGCTTTTTGAAATGATAAAGTAAGTTTTACTTATTTGAACATTTACTGTACCCATTTCCTCTTCAAGCATAAAACAGTAGTTGATTATGGACCGCAGGAAATAACAAAATCAGGTCATCAACCCAAGTGCTACAATTAGAATGTTTTGTCACTTTTACAGCAAAGTTAACCTAATTTTACATTTCTAGAACTTCCAGTTAGTGCTCACACACTGTCATTTGGAGATCCAGTATAAATGTTTTAAATGAAGACAAGTAGGAATTCAAAAGCCTTCTTCCCTTTGCTCTTTCTTTTGAAGAATGAAGTAATTGATGTGTAAAATGGCTACACTTTGGTGTCATTGTTCATTCCAAAATGCAGGAATATTCCAGGCTCAGAGTGTCTTTAGTAATTTTCTTTAAAGGGTGGATCTCCAAGCAAATATAAAACATATTGCATCCCCATTATCCCTAGCTTGAGGAATGAATGGACATTTCAGCAGCTATTATAGGTTTGTGCTAAATAAAGTAGGAGAATAAATTCCAAAGTAAATTACTCACCATGAGAATACTCTGGTAACAGCACTCTTTGTTTTCCTTAAGCCCTCCAAAAAGTTTCTACCTTGATCACTTACTAGTCCTTTCAGTATACTGGATCCACAAGCATTGAATCCTTGTATAATTTTCATTGAAATGGACCTTTAAAAATAGGTTAACTTGCAAAAAAAAGGGCAAAGAAATTTTTCTTTTTTCCCTAGTAGGATTCATTGTTGACATTTCAGTGAGACATCTTTTTACAGTAGGATTTTAATTTAGGCTTGAACATCTGCTACAGAATGGTGGAATCGGTGAAATGATAACTTTGTAAGGACCAAGAATGTTGAAAGTTGAAGACAGAAAGGGAGGTTTGTAGTCACTGTAAAGCTAAATTTTTTAATGGCCTTTGTGTGCCAATATTTTCTTAAAAGCTGGTAGCTAATATTTAGGGTAAAGAAAATCTGAAAGCTTGACAGTCCTGCCCCTTCAACTAAGATATTAGTATAGTAAGGATGCCAGCTGTCATAAAGGGAGAGGAGCAACTGAATAGTTAGAAATGAGAAACTGGGAAAAGACACAGGCTGTGGGAGGGAGGAAGGGAAAAAGTCCATCTAAAACAAACAAACAAACAAAAAAAGAAAACAAGCAACAGCAACAAAAAAACCACAAAACACACACACACCAAAAACAAACACAAAAAAAAACAGAATAAAACAAAACAAACCTCACAAATGTATTTCACAATTACCTTTATATGCTCTTCTTAAGCCCAGCAGGCATCTATTGTAAAGCTTGCAATAGGTCTGGAATGTTTTTGCCAAAATATTTTTTTGATCTTTTGGCACCCATAATCTGCATTTGCAGAAGTTTCGGGTTCTCTGCCATGGTTTAGGCTTAAAAGGAGAAACACATGATGGAGCATAGCATCCTTCTCCAAGAGAAAAAGAGAGGACAAAATGGTTGTTTTGTACTATCATGCTTGCTTTCAGTAGCTGAGATTTTCCTAGTGAGAGACCTAAATTTTAAGTGTGCTTTACAAATAAAGAAAAATACTGAGGAGCAGATATGAACTTCGGTCTTGCATGCATTTACTTTTTCCAGTCTACTGAAACCACTTCAGTTTGCTTGGATTAAGCCCTCTCTTCAAGTTGGTTGTCAGCCAAATCCCAAGTTCCATGCTGTGTGCAGAGGGGAAAAAGATCCAATGCCAAGATCTGGTTTGTAGCATCTAGTAGCAGTAACCTGAAATAACTCATTGTGGTCACCTGAGTTATAGTGTAGGTGTTCCTAGAAATGGGTGTCACCAGAATAAACAGTTTAGTATCTGACCATGGCTTTGTATGCATCCTGGAAATGCAGATACTTCCATGAATCTCCTTAGGGTAGGAAAACAATTGCATGATTTTCCTATGGACTGCTTGACTGCAGGAAAATAGCATCAGCTGGCAAGTAGCTCTTGTCCCTTGCTCGTGGATTTAATTACATACAAATTACAGACGTCTCTGTGTTAATATTTATGTGTGTGTGTGAGTATACCTGTGTATAAAAACAGTGGAGAAATAGTGATTCCTGATACAGCTAGTTGAAGTTCATCTTGAATTATGACTTTTCATTTGTCATTAGGAAAAAAAAATTGCTGACATAGCTGTAAGCTTTCTGCAAAAATGCAGGTTTGTATCTAAAGTTGCACGTCAGAGATACCTGAAGTGTTCAGGTAGTTTGACTTCTGTCTCCAGGCTTCTTAAGTGTCAGAATAAATGAAAGAATAGCTCTCAGAAAATGATAATAAGTAGTTAGTCATTCCAATTTGAAAGATAAATATAAAAAATATGTCTTACTGAATTACGTGAATCTAATCTCTACATAGGCAATAAACTAAAATGTAGACATACCTAGGAATACTAGGAACCAAATTAATGATAAAGAGAAATAGAATAGTAGTAGGGAAAAAAATAATAGAAGGAAGCTTTGCTTCCAGAAGAAATCTGGAGCCTCCTTATATTTTTAGTTAATGGTGCTGTCTTGCTGGATAAAAAGAGCAAAAACTGAAGCTTTCTCATTAAATATATTATAAAGATTTTATATTAACAATGGAATCATGAGCAGGAGCACAGGCAGACAGCATGATTTAAAACTTCAGTGAGGCACCCTTAAGAAAAATTAACTGCAAACCTCTTAAATGGGAGCTAGAAGGACTTTTACAAATGCATCTGAGGAAGAGAAGAATTTTAGAGGTAGTGGGAAAGAAGTAATAGAGGCTTAAAAATTAATTCCAGAGTAGCTGAAATATTAAGTTCTTTTACAAAAATACCTTTAGAAACATAAAAGAGCATGACACGGGACAAATTATGTTGTGCAAAATCATTAAGCCAGATAAAATATTTTTTGGTATCAGTAGGGAAA